GCGTGTTGCAGCTGGAATCAGATTGAACCTAATAACAAATCTTTTTCATGTTATAAGTGTTTTTGATAAGTTATAACGCCGTGCTTTGTGATACACGGCGTGTTCGTGTTATACACGGTGTGATTGTGTTTTACACGGTGTGTTCGTGTTACACACGGTGTGATTGTGTTATACACGGTGTGATTGTGTTATACACGGTGTGGTCGTGTTATACACACGGTGTGGTCGTGTTATACACGGTGTGTTCGTGTTATACATGGTGTGGTCGTGTTATACACGGTGTGGTCGTGTTATACACGGTGTGTTCGTGTTATACACGGTGTGGTCGTGTTATACACGGTGTGGTCGTGTTGTACATGGTGTGTTCGTATTATACAGGGTGTGGTTGTTTTATACACGGTCTGATCGTGTTTAACATGGTGTGGTCGTGTTATACACGGTGTGATCGTGAGAAGAGAAGAATATCACAACCAACAACATCGAGGTTTTTTTGTGATTGTGTACACAAAAATGAAGTCTTAGCTATTAAGACTTACACTCCAAACACACGTCCCTTGTGACAAGCCCAAGTAATTGCATGTCCAACCTTCTGTGTGGTAGTCCCAAGTGTTATCTGTGATGCTGATATACAATTACTCATCCTTGATATTCCACGGGTAACAATTACTTTCGCTCTCTGCTCTCCTGGAACGTGTCATGGCAAAATTTATGGTTCCATGTGAGCCACTTTGTGGACAAGACGAAAAGACTAGTGATGTACATCACACGAATCTCAGGTCGCGTAATAGTATATTGTTATGGCGTTGAAGTTGGGTGTCACTCCTTGGTAATCTTTGCTCTGTACATGTATATCACCTTACATGGTGTAATGTTGAGGAAAATTGGCATCTCCCTTATTCAAGGTTCCGCCCCTCGGATTCACACTTCTGTATTTTATACACGGGAAAGGTAAAATAACTCGATTTCATTCAAAGTCATTCGATCTCAGTTTACGAACACATGAGTCAATACTGGCTATTTTCTTCGATTTCGTATGGTTGGTGATTTCGGCAATGCGACAAAACCATTGCGTTAAAAACATATCATCATGTGACGAACTTATAGAGAAAACGCAACGTAATTTCACGACAGTAACTTTCTGTAGGGATGCACTGTCACATTGTCGCGTCAAATGTCATCTTGTCGCGTTGATTTTGTCGCATTCGCATTGAGCGGATGCCGTCGCGAAATGGCTGAAATCAGTCATTATGAGATAGAGGTTATTTCAAAATGTTAAATTAGAAATCGAGACACGTATAAGACTTGCAATTCATGTGTGGTGTTTTTGTTGTTACCAGTGAAAATGTCACGGTTCATGTTAACAAGGTCAGCTATTTCATTCTATCAACAGTTAAAGATTGAGAGAGCATTAGACGAGTTCGACCTGTTCATAAAGCCTCCGATATATCTACAATGAATTGATTAAATGTTACGGTATTGACTGTCCGCCTGTAGTCATTAATCGAAGGGAGACATTCGGGAATTGAAACTTGGGGGAAAAAACATAAACACATTCATATATATATAAAGTATTCCTGGATTTTAAGTGTAATTGTATAATTAGATGAATATGATGAGGTTTTACCTTGAAATAAAACTACACTTCATTTAGTTCCACGTGTACTGCTATATTGGTCATTTCCTAAATCTGAATCCTATTATACAAAAACGTACACAGTAACGTTCATATATCCCTGAAAATAGCATACACGTATATACAAATATGGTTTATCGTAGAATTTCTTTAGTGATTAATGAATAATTTTCTGACATATTGATGATAAATTATAACATCTTTTGTCTCCCCCTCCCCCCTAACCCTAACCCCCACCCCTGTCCAAACCAAAGTCATTCTTGTCTCCTGTGCGTGGCTTTGCTTTTCTGTTTATTTGTTTGGATGCTTGTTTCGTAGGGATGGGGGGATGGGGTTCCTTTGTGAAGAGTCGGATTAAAAATGTTTAAAAATTGATTAATAATTGTACGCACGGATATTGCTCAGTCTCTGATGGTTAAATAATAGTATCAGCTTAAGAAATACGACTTACCTACTGTATATCAATCAAGACCATCTATGTTCCATCTCTAGGGTCCGTGTGTCACCCATATATCCTAGATACCACACTCTATTATTCCTTTTTATAATCATTCAGTGGTCGACTCAACGAGATTCAAATCAACATGAGTTATTATCTTGACCTTGGATGCGTTAGTATGATAATCTAATAACGGAGATTCAGTATAATATTAATTCCCCTGAGTGACAAATCTAAGTCTTGTTGAAGATATGAAGAAATGTACTTACTTGTTACCGGTATAGCGTTCTATCGATTGAGGAGAGCATCATTTCTACCTGTGTAGATATAGTGGTTTTTTTTGGTATGTCGTCTCTTGCTTTTATTTTCATCTGTAAGTGTGAATATGTGTACATGTGTTTAACATTAGTGTGTTGATCTAACAAACACTCAACATGTGTGTGTGTATACGTAAAATATTGTATTAGTTTTATCCGCTTCTTAAAAAGAATAGTCAACTTGAATGTAGGAATCCTACATTGTTATATTTGTCGAGGTAACGTAGCTTTCAATTCAAACTTACTTTTGTTTACCAAATAGAATATTATACGCAAGTGACAATTACACATAAATATCTATTTTTAAAGTCCGCAACAAAATATCATTTCAGTGATTATCAGTGTATGGTGTGTACACATTTTACAGCTGTAAGCTTGTAGGTGTTTCACACCAAGAAAAGTATAAGACGATCTTGACCCTTGGACAATGAATTCACAAGAATGCCTTTGCAGAGACGTGTTGGGATACCGTGACTTATTTGTTAAACTTTTAAGTCTGTATATAGATTATGAGTGAATCCTGTGTTAATCACGTATGTAGACAGGTCACCGAAGAGAATTTTAGTTATCTTTACACTTAAGCGTCAAATTGAAAAACGGTGTTAGTTACTGTAATAAATAGACATTTTAGTTTGATTATAATTAGTAGTATCTAACAGAACATATCATTTCTCACTGAGTGTGAATGTACAATGAGATCGGTGCGTGCACTATAACTAAACATCTTTAACATTTTCTTGCCACGGACTTCGTCGTTCATACATAAGAGACGTTATATTTAATGTAAACATATGATCAATGTACTTTGTTAATGGACAGAGTATATACTGATTAAAAATGTATATTTTCTTCTAAGGTTAAAGTGTTTAAAATCCACAATAATCTCATTTTATTTCGATGTTATTTTTATACATTATATAACTGTTCAGAACTGGCTTTACTGTCATGCAGTTAGAGTTACTGTCCTTGTTATGTAGCTCTCTAGCTTCAAGGTGAAAAAAATTACGGGTGATTTAAACACCTGTATGCGGCAACAGGTGCACTTAAGATATTCAGTAAGGAATACACCTGTTATCTGAGTACACCATCGGTGTGTTACAAAAAGGTAAGTATTATGTGAAAAGGTGATAAAAATTCTGTAAACTTATTGAATTCCACCAGAAATTTTTATGATGCCTCGCAGCATACCTGTGACACACCCCTTTTCAGTTTGTCCCTAGATGCTGTACATGTTCGATACATAGTGTCTTCAACGTTTACAAGTGGTACTAGTTACTATTGATTTTTCTGAGCTTTAAGAAATATTTCTCAGTTGAAGTTGCTATTTGCTAGAGCTATAAATTAAAGAATACAGCGTTGCATTATTCTGTTGCCTACAGTATATAACATTATTCTGTTACGCAAGTATATAAAATTATTCTGTTACGTAAGTATATAACATTATTCTGTTACAGTATTTAACATTATTCTGTTACGCAAGTGTATACAATTATTCTGTTACGTAATACGTAAGTATATAACATTATTCTGTTACAGTATATAACATTATTCTGTTACGTAACAGTATATAACATTATTCTGCTTATCTAGGACCTGATCACCTGTGAGAAAATACTGTCAAATTCTGTCCTCTTACAAAAATAAAAAAAGATTGGGGTAATGTAATGTTCCACTGATCACAATAATGAAAAATACAACAATTTACCTTAAGTATGAAATTTTAAAGAGAAGCTATATTAACATTGTCAAAAATAAGCAGATAATACTATAAAAATGAGACAGGCAACGAAAGGCAGTTGGTATATATATATATTAATCACATAATGTACTAAAGAGTGGTATGTACCCTTTACCTAGGACTTCCCATAAAAACCTGAAATTGGCTGATTTCCAATGAGGCCTTTTAAAAATGGAAGGAAAAATAAAAAAAAATAATTTAGAATCAAGTCTGTAATGGTTTAGATAGCACAGAGATATCATTTGTGTGTAAATAAATCATGTAGGTATAAACATGTCTGATTATCGATTTCTTACACTATAAAAAAATATATTTCAGTATATTTAGTAACTAGATAAACATATATGAAAAACATTACTGAAGATGAGATACATCATAGATTTATTTTTGGCCTGAAGCATACGCTGTTATCTGGCTGTTCATTGCCGATGTAATGTACATAAGTGACATTCTATCATTTTTCATCAGTGAACTAAGTGCTTGTGGCTAAATCACAACCAGAATTATTTTTTTATCTTTAAAAGTGCAGTTTATTTTAAAATCATTTTCAGTATCAGATTTTCATAATATTTAAAAAGAAATTGGAATTGAGATAGTTTGAATATAAGTATATTTGTAAAATTTATCTGTTTTCATATTTGTATACTTTGTTTATACATATATCTTTGATATAAATCAATCTGAGTCGTGTAGTAAATAAACAAATACAAATGTATTATTTTGTGAAAATTGATATATTTTTGTTTTTATGATTCAGATACATAAAAGTAACTTCTGAAGATAGGGACAAGCTCAACTGAAAATCACAGTCATGCTGTAGGAGGTACACACTGATGGGATGATGTATGGGATTTAAGAAAGATTTACTGAACAATTCTTTATGATGACAGTCTTACCTTACACTTGTGTCTATATCGGTAAGTATTGCTGTATCTTTTTGTTAAAATCCACAAGTTTCTTTGTTTTTATATATATTAGGCAATCTTGCATGAGTATTGATGTATTTCAAATTATTTACCAAGTTTAATTAATTACATAGTGCATCAAAACAAATCTAAGATTCTATTTATCATATACCCTGTATTTCTGAAAAATGTCAATATTTTCCAAATCAGACAGACTTATAAATGATGTCACAAGAATGTTATTACATATGTGTCTTATGATATTTATGACATTGCCGTATGGCATAATAGGCTAGCAATGTGATAAATGGATATTTTCTCTGCATTATTCCGCTGTCCTGGATGTCTGTTGGTGTTATTTATACATTATAATCCTACTTGTACCTCCTTACCTCTGTCATACAATTCCACCACAATTAGAATCAATGTCCTTCACTCTGTCTGCATGTGATCTGTCCATATGATATATCCCTTTACATATTATTTCTGAAGACACCATATCTATCCAGCAGTAAGCTGAGATTACTCTTTGTTCAAGGTCAGGGGGTAGACTTCTCACAGAACAACATAATAGCTATGATGTATAAATCACTGGAAATCAATAAACAGCTGCACAATGGCTGAAACCAGGCAAGGGCTAGCAATTATTGATATCAAATATATAGTAATATATACATGTATTTTTATTAACATTTCAACAAGTCACTATTTACCACAGGGGCCTAGACTTGTAACAATATTTCTGGGTACCATACAAACCCTCAGTCCCACCCCCCTCCCCCGCCACCCCCACACCAGAACATTGTTACAGGATCCTGTAGTATTTACTGTTACAAGTTACATGTACAAAGTAAATGTATAGTACTTATATATTTCATATATGTTAGGATTTGATAGTCATCAGATACAACACTTGATCCAGCATAAGACTGGGAACAAAGACTGTGGAAGTTTTGAAGTATAACTGGTACCATTTGTTGTACAAGATTTGGTTATCAATCAATGAAAATATGATTACTTATTTATATTATAAAATTGTTAACAGATGCATCATCAAGTTGTTCGCCTGATTAGATTTTGACGGGTCAGTATAAGATCAATGGGTCAAAAGTCACATACACACTTGATCCATGTCCAAAGTACTTATATAAGTGTTAAAAAGATTAATTGTCGTATCATAACATGACGCCCCCAGCATCATACTAGATTTAAGTGTCATCAGTAAAGGTTAACAGGTCAAACAGGAAACTTGACCATGCTGTTAGAGAAGGTGACATTCCGATAAACGTTACATGTGGAATGTATCTGTTTTATGTACATGTATATTTTCAGTCCCGTAACATCTCATGAAAAAGTAACATTTTAATGGTCATCCTCTCTCATCAAATCAGGTCAAAAGGTCAAACTTAGAGAATGGTCACACTTGACTTGTTCTGAATGACAAAATTCAAAGTTTGCTATGAACCCTTCTACAGATTAAGTTTTGTGTTCACACCATGTTATAATCTATAAATGGTGTCCTACATAGCTGATCAGACCACATTGTAATCTCAGGGAATGAAAGTCACATGCATGTTCATATCATTATATAACATGTTCTTGAAATTTGGTTTCAAGTGAATTAAATAAAATTTGGGAGATGGTTCGATGTTTCTGTATACAATGTATGTGTCTTTTTGTTGTTTGGTGCATTCATGTAAATTATATAATACAACTGCTAAAACGATTTAGCTAAATATATCAAATAATTCTATATCAATTGTGTATGAAATATACTAGATATATAACAGTTACTTCCATACAGAGAATTCTGTAGGTGTTGATGTATACACACGAGGACATTAGGATTAATAATTGAGTGTTTTGTTCTAGGATTAAGTTTACGTACACTAAGTGCGTAATCGGATTACAAAGGTTGCCAGACTTTGTTATCTATAGAGAAAACTCCACACAGTAAATAGGTAATAAACTGTGTTGACATATCGGACCACCTTCAGTTTTTCAGGTGTATGATAAGGTTTGACAAGTTGTTATAACACCAGACTAAAACACAACAATAAGTTTTTACTATCTTTCAGTCAGTGTTATTTTTACCTTTAAGAGCAACATTACTGCACTGGTATTATACATGGGTTGCAATATGCTGCGATAAAGGGCTACCAGGCCTAGGTTTATTTAAATGAAAGACCTTGACTCTCTTTCAAGGTCACAGAGGTCAAATGTGTTGAAAAATTAAAATGACTTCTTAAATAAAGATCAAAAGGTCCAGGGTACTGATATTAGATATTATCATGTTTAGAGGTTAAGGGTTACCAAGTTTATTGAAATAGATTACTTGGCACCCTTTTAAGCAATTTCTTCAAAATAACCAAAATACCTAAGTCATCATTTTTGGCCAATAGCATATAAGGATAAAAGGAAATGTACAGAGTTTGCTCAAATACATGTCATTAATCAATTTTTATGATCTTAGGTCAAATATTTTAAAATGACTCTTTGGATAACACCATGATGAGATTAATTAAGAAAGGCCAGCAAGTTTGTTCCAAAGGCTGGTCATGTCCATGTCCCCTTATGAAAGTTAAAAATGTCATATGTGTTAAAACTTCTAAACCACCTTTTCTCAATAACCAAATAGCACTGGGTTTTGTTACTCGACCAGTAGCATCTAGGAATGAGGGGCTACCAAGTTTTATATGAATGTAAGACCCTTTGTCCTGGTATTTATGTATGTGACATAATTACTTTCAGTGACTGAGGAAATATAAACTGTATGTAAATTTTCCCTTTTTTCTGTCTGTGCCACTACTGAACTATAAACAGAAAGCTAGTATTGAGTTCTGTACCACTATTACTATAGAGAACTGGTTTCTACACCATGTATTGAGTTCTGTACCACTATTACTATAGAGAACTGGTTTCTACACCATGTATTGAGTTCTGTACCACTATTACTATAGAGAACTGGTTTCTACACCATGTATTGAGTTCTGTACCACTATTACTATAGAGAACTGGTTTCTACACCATGTATTGAGTTCTGTACCATTATTACTATAGAGAACTGGTTTCTACACCATGTATTGAGTTCTGTACCACTATTACTATAGAGAACTGGTTTCTACACCATGTACTGAGTTCTGTACAACTATTACTATAGAGAACTGGTTTCTACACCATGTCTTAAGGTTAATTTCATCAAGATTTCCACCATTGCTTTATCCCAGACAGTGATTGCTAGGGATTGATTGCCATTAAGGTTCAAGGGTCAAGGGTCAATGTCATTATTAAATAGAATGCATGAATAGAATATCACTTTCTGCACTCTATTTTAATGTATGCAGTATAATCATGAATAATGTTAGAATGTTACATATGTTATTGACTCAAAAGGTTTATTAGTGTTTTTGTCCATGTTAATTACTGTTTTTTCTTCTCTGCAGATGCTGACTGGCGTGATCTACTATTCAGTGCCAAACAATGTATCAGCTGTGGAGTAAAGAGGGAGCAAATCATAAAGGAGTTACAGACCATGTGGTTGCATCCAACCAATCAGAACTCTGTATTGCCCTGTCTCTCTGTCAGAACTTGCCTTGACCTTTACCTGAAGGTCAAGGACTACCCTCCAGGTTCAGAGGTTATTATGTCGGCTATCAACATACCAGACATGGTGTACATTGTTAAACATCACAAGCTCAAGGTTTGTCCTTTAATGCCATCAAGTGTCTGATTACTTTGAAGTTACTTTAGTGTGAATATTGTCTTTAGTTTCATCAGTGTGATATCTAATTACATCAAAGTTAATACCTTTTAAAAATTTAGTATGTGTAACAGCTTAAAGATGACTTATTATTGACCAATCAGAACAGAATGTTCTCGTTGATGCATCAACAGTGCCATTTTAGTTTGAATCAATATTCTTACTTCAGATTTTTGTGCCAGCTTTTCTGCTCAATTATATACACCTGTATGTAGCATAAACACACCAATGGTCATGGTTGATTTGTTTTATCTATTCAGTAATAAGAAACTTTACAAATACAGTTTTATGTCAGCAGAATCAAATCTAGAATAAAGATATAGATATTGAAATTCAGGTGCTTTAATTGCTGTCCTGGATGATGACAACATATCAAATTTTAAATCCCTACCTTTCAAGGCAGGAATATTTCTTGTTGATTATTAAGGTACTTAAAAACATAATACATTTAAATATTTTCTTTAATGCCATAAATATAGTGTTCATGACATAGAAGAAAAGAAGTATTTTGATAAGGGTAAAACAAACAACACAAATATTAGTAAAACCTGCTTTGCTGAGTCTGTCCAAGCATTACATGTACATAAAAACAGTTTTCATGAAGTCAGTATAATTTATTCAGTTTACATGAAAACATGGCAGAAAATTCCTAGTGTCTTAATAAAGAAGGTGTTATAACATAGTTTGTGTCAAAACGCAAGTGGTGTTTTAATACTGGTGCTATCTAAATACACATAGTGTCTTAATAGTGTTAAACTCAGCTTGTCTGAAGGACAGGGAGGGGTCATTCCAAAAGGGAAATTTTGTAAATTCTCTAAAATCGCACTTTTGTAGGAATCATTAGATTTTGTCCAAATTTGGTCAGAAGTATTCTTGGATGAAAGGGACTCAATTTCCTATAAACTTAGGGTCTCAACCTCCTGGGATGGAAGATGCAAGGTCCAATAAGGGAAATAGAGCAAATTTTTTTAAAAAATTCTTCTCCTCCTGTAGGAATGATAAGTTCTGACCAAATTTGGTGTAGCTTAATCATTCTTTAGTGAACATGCAAGAATCAATTTTGTATAAACAGTGAATCTTTGCCTCTTGAATCAGATGGTGGGTGGAGAGTGTGTGAGGCCCAGTATGGGAAACAGAGCAAGTTCTTTATAATCCTATTCCTCATTGAAGAAGGATTAGATTTTGACCAAATTTGGTCTGAAGCGTTCTTTGGTGATGGGGAATCAGTTTGGTATAATTGGTGTGTCTCAGCCCCCGTGGTACAGAAGGGGTGGGAAAAGAAGGGCAAATAGAGTAAACTCTTTAAAATCCTTCTCTTTTCTTTCGGTAGGAATGGCAGGATTCTGTCCCTATTTGGTCTGACACATGAATGGTTTGCCTTACCCCTAAGGACAGTGGAGTTGGGCCAAATGGGGAAATAGAGATAGTGTATGTTGTGTGCTTTGAAATATAGAATTCATTCTCCTACAGATTGGATGAAGCAATTTCATGTCTCTATCAGCCTCTTGTTAAATCAGCTGGTGTCTTAACACAGATGAATTCTTAATACAGAGAGTGCCTTAAATATTGATTAATTTTAAAGATTTACTGACTTAATACAGATTCTTCTTGATACAGATAATGCATATAATAAACCAAGCAACTGGATTTAAAACATCTAGGTATTTCTGATAAAGATGGTGCCTCTATACCAAAGATGTACAGTGTACATGTGTACACCTGTAGTATCTCTCTATACCAAAAATGTACGGTGTACATGTGTAACCTGTAGAATCTGTATGTACCAAAAATGTACTGTATACATGTGTACACATGTAGAATATCTCTCTGTGTACATCTGTAGAATCTCTCTATGGGTATACCTGTAGAATCTCTCTATGTGTACACCTGTAGAATCTCTCTATGTGTACACCTGTATAATATCTTTATGTGTACACCTATAAAATCTCTCTATGTGAACACCTGTAGAATATATCTATGTGTACACCTGTAGTACACCTGTAGAATCTCTCTATATGTACACCTGTAGAATATCTCTCTGTGTACACCTGTAGAATGTCTCTATGTGTACACCTGTAGAATCTCTTTATGTGTACATCTGTAGAATCTCTCTATGTGTACACCTGTAGAATCTCTCTATGTGTACACCTGTATAATCTATCTATATGTACGCCTGTAGGAATTCTATATGTGTACACATGTAGAATGTCTCTATGTGTATACCTGTAGAATCTCTCTGTGTACACCTGTATAATGTTTTTATGTGTACACCAGTAGAATCTCTCTGTGTACACCTGTAGAATCTCTCTATGTGTACACCTGTATAATCTCTTTATGTGTACACCTGTAGAATCTCTCTATGTGTACACCTGTATAATCTATCTATATGTAAACCTGTAGGATCTCTTTATGTGTACATATGTAGAATCTCTCTATGTGTACACCTGTAGAATCTCTCTATGTGTACACCTGTAGAATCTCTCTATATGTACACCTGTAGGATCTCTCTATGTGTACACCTGTAGAATCTCTCTATGTGTATACCTGTATAATCTCTTTATGTGTACACCTGTAGAATCTCTCTTTGTGTACACCTGTAGGATCGCTATATGTGTACACATGTAGAATCTCTCTATACCAAAAATGTACAGTATATAGAGTATATATCTTCTCAATAATTAAGAAGTCTAGAGGCATTATATTTGGCTGGAATGTTCCGAGGATGATGTTCAAGTATGTCTGTGAAAAGAAATTGCCTTGACCCATATTCAAGGTCACATGGGTACATTTATCAACTTCTAAGATGCAGAAGTATGGTATTTGGCTGGTACTTTCCTACTTTTCTTGTGGTAAGCTAAACGGCTGAAAGAGGCATGATATTTGGTGGAAAGGCTTTTCTTGGTCAAAGCCCACAAAGTTTGAGAGAAAAAGAACAAGCATTTAGTTAAAAATTAGGTCATAACTGCCACTGTTTAGAGTTGAGTAAATTGTATTGGAAGTGCCCTATGAATGCCATTGGTGTACATATATATCAATATATTTGTATCTGTGATATTAGCACTGATTCTTTGTTTGATGAGCATTGAATACCAGGTGAGTGATGCAGGCCCATCAGGCCTCTTGTACAATACACATAAAGTTGATTGTAAGTGGTCTAGTGCCGAGCTGGTTCACTTACAAGCTTAATTAATGTTCCTGTCATGACTGTTGTCTTTGCTGATATTGATTTTAATTTTTTATACTGAGGACTGATTACAAAATCGTACATGTTAGAATTTGGTTGAACATGACTTGGCTGTTAAGTTAAGCTCAACAAACCCATAGGACATTATATATATGTAGAGTAAAACTTGTAGATACTTTGTGCATCGATAAGATAATTGAAAAATAACAACACAGGTGAAAGAAGGAGTCGAATAGAGAGGTCTCCTAGGCCTGTGTTCGGTATAATATCCTGAGTTTTGTTTTGCTATTGTTTTCAGACCTGATGGTCATTTTCAGGTAATTAAGTGCTTTTAACTTTCTCAACCGAAACTGCATTCATGAAATTAAAGTGATTTCATTTAAAGGTTTTTTTCATTGAGTAATTTGTTCTACTTTAAAGGAGACTAGGGACAAACATTCTAAATCTGCCAACAGCAGTTGATATTGAAGTCTGGTCCAATCATGGTGTTGTACAAGATTAACAGATTTTTAGTTCATGTAATATCTCTGCCATTTATATCCCATTCTGATGCATTTTGACAAGGTGAAGTCAACGGGCAATATTGATTGATATGACATAATACTGCGATAAGATAACAGATGAATTTTGTGATATTCACAAAACACAAGGTCAAACGTCAAATTTTTTAATTATTAGTTAAAGATTTTTTTTTGAAATTGTTAATGATTTATCTATAAGTTAATGTGAGGTATGATTCTATGCTAAAGTCAGAAGCCAAATTTAATACCTGGAAATTAATGGTTTCAGAATAGCATGGTAGGAATTAATATTCTGTTCAGTGGTGGCTGTTTTAGTCGATGATTGTACTGTACAAGAACCAAAGATCTGAATATCTCATTATTGATATTGTAAAGGTTGTGTTTTTAGATACAAAGTTCAATTGCTTTTTAGTTTTTTTATAAAAAAAATGGACAATGGTTTTTTCTATTGAATTTCAATCAAATTTTGACACATTTTCTTTAATTCAATCCTCAAAAAGTTATATTAAAATGATAGAAGTCTTGTAAACTATAACTCATACATGTAGCTTGTGGGTATTGATGCTGAATGACCTACAATCTTAGCTGTTTATTTTTAAATCATGAATTTTGTTTGTTGAAGGTTGTCCCCCTTGATGTGAGTATAGAAACAACTGGACCTAAGGATGAACTGCTGGAATCTCTTATCACTAATAAAACTGTTGCCATTCTCATCGCTCACATCTACGGCAAATGGTGCAACATCGAATCTATCATAGACATTGCACAGAGAAAAAACATTGATGTCATTGAAGACTGTGCAGAGTGTTTTTGTGGTTTTGAGAAAATGGGAAACCCAAGAAGTGATCTGGCAATGTTCAGTTTTGGTGTCATCAAATATTCAACTGCATTTGGTGGTGCTTTAGCAAAAGTCAAGGAGGAAAAATTATACACACAAATGAAGGAGAGATATTTGAACTATCCTATACAAAAACGTTCAGAATTTTTTAAAAAGATTCTGAAATATTCTGCTGTCTATGTTTTCCTAGATTGTCCACGAATTATCAAACCATTGATGTTCATGACCAGAACTTTAAATATTGACCACAAAAAACTGGTGATCCGGCTTCTTAGGGGGTTTCCTGATCACATGATAGAACGAATTCGAGCACAGCCATCAAATGCCCTTCTTGCCACAATGAAAAGGAGACTTGATAATTTTGATGTGACAGATTTCAACTCGTCACAAGTGAAAGCGGAATATGTGATACAGAGGCTACCTGAAGAAGTCACCTTGGTAGGACTGCAAGCTGAAGTCAACAATTACTGGCTTTTCCCAATATTGATGGTGAGTTGAATCAAACATAGCTGCTGCTGCTGAATATATCTTCTGTATATTTTGTTTGAAAAAAATCTTGATTATCATCAATTGAAGAGCAATTTTGATATCAAAGCAATAAAATTTTTCTTTCATTTTCGTTCCCCTGCTGTTTTACTTAAAAAATTTTATCCTTGTCCACTGTGATGCATCTGTCCTGGACAGATTCATTGTCACCTTTCTAGCAATCTTATTTCTTCTGGGATTCTAGTAAAACTTTTCACAAAATTCAAGCTCCTGGATGAAATAATGTTTCAGGGTTGAAAGGTCAAAGTCACAGTTACTATTTATAGGTCAAACATTGTTACAAATTTGAAGAAAATGTGAAGTAGTGGAACCGTACAATAATTTTCTAGTATGTCCAAGAATCGCTTGGATCTTTCGGCCATGTGATGAGATCCGGCATTTTGAGTCCGTAATGAAAACACACGTGGTTGTAGATTATATCAAAAAGAACAGTCAAGAAGTTGAGTTATTAAGTGTCAGCAGAGTACAGACTTTTTCTCCACAATATCAATGTTTTACAATTAAGTTAACTCATACCAAGCTTCTAATTCTTTTTTCAGGACAATCCTGATACAGTAGTTAAAATACTAAATGCCTTGGGGATAGATGCTTACCGTGGAGCTACACAACTCAATCTCATTGAACCAGAAAACGGTGATGAGTCTCACCGTCAACAGGCTAAAGTAAACAGCAGTTTTGAACACACAACAGAAAACTACCACCAGTACTACCCCTTGGAGGCCCTCAACAACCAACATGACCCCTTGGAGGCCCTCAACATAGACTATCCACACGAGGCTCGATATCTTATAGATCATGTTGTATATTTACCCGTGAACAAATCCGTCCCGTTTCATGCTCTAGATCATATTTGTAAATGCGTAAAGCTGGCCTTTCACCTCAGCAAAAATGGCCGCTCACCCGACGTTCGTCTTCATGCAAAGTTATGATAACAATGTGACCTTTAAATAAAATAGAGTACTGCCAATATACCCAGAAACCTCATTAATCAGGCGGACTATTTACTGATAGGGAGACATTGGTATAATAGGGTTAGGACACCTTTTTATTTTATTGAACAATATACAAGAGACCTGTGGTATACTCCTGATGATATGCGACATATATAATATGGAATATGCTTCAATTTTTTTCTGTTTTAAAATTTTGAAATTCCAGAAATAAATCAATTAACTTATTAAGATTATTACAAAGTTTTAATTGTAAAAATTTTACTTACAGTGGTTCTGACAGAACCAATGTTGTTGTCATCAGTTGTAGAATGGGTTGTGCAAGAATCACAGATGATTGATACCCAACAGTGTTCAAAAGAATCATGTCAATGTATGTGTTAATATCCTTTGTATTTCTGACGGTTAGGATTTTGACAAATATAAAATGTCTATACAAAATCGAGTTTGTCTAGTGCCTTATGGCTTTTGAAAATTAAAGATATCAAATATACTGATACTGAAAATAGATTTTTAATTCAGATATAATTACAAAAAATAATTACATCAAATATTTCAAATTCTGTGAGTTTCTACGCCTAACATGCACATTTTTTCTAAACTTTTATGAAAATGTACGGGATCTTACCTGAGTTTCCTTTTGATATGGGAATTTATGAAATAAATCTTTAAAATTTTAAGAAAAATTGTGATAAGTTTCATAATCACATATAAAATGGAATGAAATTTAAGATCAGATGTTAAAATTTTTAAGCAAATATGGTGAAATACAAAAATTGTTACGTCAAAGTTAAGGTCAGATTATCTCCATATCTATTGTCTCCATTGTTACATCATAATACCATTAGTGATTGTGTGAAGAAATATCATTCTCTAAAGTGACAGTATATTAAGTTATTTTACACATACCAGGTATGTAATATGCAAATACATGACATTGGTATGTTTATTGATTAGCAAGACAATCATGTGATAATTTAGATTAATTAATTAAAATGAAAACAAATGACACAAGTCATGTTGTCTTGACAAGATTTATATAAAAAAAAAAGTCAAATAGGAAAAATAAGATACATTTTGTACGAGATCCTCTCAATTTTGTCTCGTTGCATGTCATGTAAAGACTTCACTCAAAGAAGAGGAAGTTTGCAAACAAAATCTGTTAAACCCTAATGTTGATTTTTTGTAGTCAGATATTTGCCACATTAATCAGAATTTAATTGTAAATAAGATATATTCTATGTAGATAAAGACGGGTAAATTTTATACAATGGACTCGTCAGTATTGCTGATTTCTGAAATTCAGATTCTCATTTATGACAAGTGATACGTTATTGTATCCAAATCACACGGAAGTTTTCCTAGAATCTGCAGCAGAGTTTTGAAAATCTATTTTGGGTCAATTTAATTCTTGCCAAAGTATTATATTAATGACAACTTTAATTGAACATTCCATCCACTAGATAAGACATAGATCTATTATTTTTTATCAAGATTTTATATACATTTGTGTTACTACTTAAATCTTGTAATTGGTGTTGGAGTATGTTTGTATTTTACTGAAAGAATTTTACAATATGTTACTCAGAAACCTATACGGAAAAATATCATATATGTGATGGCTGAAAAGTTGTTGTTATTGTAAATATATGTTATTGCCATTGATAATTATTATTTCAATTTTTCCACAGAGAAAACATGTAAATACTGGTAAAATTGATTTTAAGATATGGTGTAGAATATCAGTGCCATCTCTTCTTGTGAAATTTGTTTTTTTTACATATATATATATATATACTGAACACTTATGAGAATTTAGCACAATTAGAAAATGTAAATGTGTGTACTGAAGTGTGTCAAAAAATCTCATTAACATCAAATGTTAAGGCTCAGTATAAAACTGTTAATATTTTGCATAAAATGTGATTTTTTTTATAAAAATGTTAATGTTTAACATAAATGTTGATATGTTGACACTTATATGGCTCTGCAAAATTTAATTTAAAAACCTCATTAATAAATTAAATATTTTAAATCTCAAGAGTAACTACTGGGATATAGAACAGCAGTTTTATTTCAGAGGTTGGGGGAGTATGGATGATATTCATCCCTTACCCTAATGATGTTCGACTTTGGATGTTATTTAACCCTTAATTACCCCAAGGGTTTGGGACTGTAGTTGGTGATATTTTTATGCCTACCCAGGGATTTGGGGCTGTGGGTGATTTTTATTCCCTTACCCCAAGGGTTTGGGACTGGGTGATGTCTTTCCCATTACCCTGTCTTTATGAGACTGTCAGCAGGTGATATCTTCATTCTCTTCTTTAGGGTTCTTACTGCATATTCAATCGTTCAATAAAACATGTCTTTTCCCTCAAATAGATGTTAGCATATCTTATATTTTTCTCTCTCTATTCTTTATAAAGTTATGTTTTCAATTTCCCTGTTGTATAATCAAAACCTGAAAATGTCAAGCATCATCTGTGAACACTAGTTAATGAGTTTGTACATTATCAGCCACTACAAAGGAATATTTTGGTGTAAGTTTTTAAACTGTTTAATGTGATCATGAGCCTAAATAACATTTTCCAAAAGTGTCAGAAAATTTTAGATATTTTCTTTGAATCTTTTAAAAGAATCAATGCTTTTTCCTAACAAAAGGCATCAGCATTATTTCCATTTTACCTGAATTAAAGAGAAATATTCTTATACATTTGGTACAGTATAGGCCTAAGTGTAACTTAGATCAAGGGGAGACAATCACAAGAGAAGAACATTTACTTTACTGTTGTATAAAAATGTGTAAAATCAACAAAGATACCGGTAAACTATTTTATTATATATACTGAAATTTATTTTAATAAGGATTACATGTTTACATTGAAGCTGTTTATGATATTTTCTAGTAATGATACTTTATATCATTAATTTTTGTGGATGTTCTATTTTTGATCATTTTGTGGGTACTTAAATGAATTTGTGTTTCCATGAACTGCTGAAAGTTGTATAAGCAGACTTTTTTTAGTTATATAGAGTTGAATTTATCCAATAAATCAAATGTTCACAGAATAATGATGTTATGAAAAACCACGAAAATTGCGCTCCTGGAAATTGTATGATTTTACAGCATAAGGATCTCATAATTACCACAATAGGGTGAAGCAGATACTCCGTCAGAATTTTACAGTCTTGCCTTTTGTTTGCAAAGCGTACAATGTATTTGTTATTGATTGATGAAAAAGCTGTCAAACCTGTCTATAGAGGGCAATCAAGGGAGCAGAGAAAAGTGGCCTTTATAGACAGGTGGCTTTTCTATAAAAGTGGCCTGTATACTTAAGCCACCCAATATCTAATTTTAGTCATGTCATTATTTTTCATCATTTAAGACTTAAAATTAAAATAATCATAATTCTTTCATAATTAAGATTTGTTAGATCAATATTTGTTATGCAGTTTTATGATTAGAATTAGACACAAGTTTAGAAACCAGTTCTAACTGTAGGTGATCATGCATGTAACAAAACACACTAATGTTACTTGTGTCAGAATCAATAGTTATTGTAATAAGAATAATTCTAAAATACTGTTATAAAGGCAAATGAAGATTTATGCATTTTGTAGTTTAGATTTCAATATAAAATTGTTATAAAATATTTGATCTGTGATACGTTAGAACCTTATAAATCAGGTGAGGAAATATTTTATTTACCTGGTAATGATAAACAAATGTATGTAAACATTTACTTTCAGCATATCAGTGGTTTTTTTTAACAAAAATGAATGTCTGCTTTACTACGAAGGACATCGCCAAAGGAACTATAACAGAATTGAGTGGTTTGCATCAACAAGTGTCTGGTTATAATTAGTATCTTGGGTAGTTTTAATATTTTATTTTCTTATAAATGTTAACTTGCAGGTCTTTAAAGCTGTAGATATTTGATGTTGAAAGCATGGCCTGTTTTATTCTGGTTTTTTTTCTGACCAGAAATATGGATTCAAGAATATTGACATCTTAAGAAAAAAATCCTCAAAGCATAAACACTTCATTTTATAGAAAACACAGACAAAGCATTTGATAGATGAAGGAAGTTTGTTTGAGTTCATTTTCAGTTTGTATCTGACAGGTTACTGATACAGTGTACTAAGTAATAATAATGAGATACCAAAATGTTGCTGATGTTTAAATGTTACATCTTAAGGTTTTTTTATATAAGGAAAGGTTCATAGAATATCTTTTTAATCATTTACCTAGGTCAGAGTACATTTGTATGCAAACTGGTACAGGACAATATATATACGTATTAACAGAATAAATACTGTACACGTGAAAACATTTGCCAAGAGTTTTTTTCTCTTGAAAATTTTTATATTTTTTCATTATCAAATTCACCCTAAAAATGTAAAACATTAATCATTTTTACTCAAAATTGTAGCTGCTGGATTTTTTAAAATAATTTTTTTATCATATTTTGCCTTTATTGACAAATAGAGGAAAGCGCAACTGCCATGAAAATTTCCCCACATACCTTGTAACAGTAATGGATAAACACAAATATATATTATAAACATCTGAATATATTATCCTCAAAAGTCCTTTCAAACTTAATTACCTATATCAGAGGTTACTTAAATCAAAACACATGAAGAACTATTTTCTGTTGTGTTATAAGTCTGATGTTGAAATTTTACTGAAACCAATGTTGTGTGTATATTATATGAATCTCTTATCTCCAACTCATTTATAGTGATTTATTGGTAGGAGTATTTTGCTTTTGTTTATATTGATGATGTGTGTATCAAATCAAAAATTTTCTTTAAAATTGGCAACAGGTGAGAAAATAATGGCTTTAACCTTGTGTGAAAGGTTTTTGATCTGTCAACTCCATCTTTCTTCAAAAATAATTGGAACCATTCTTCAACAAAAATGAAATTATGTTGATTTAAACGCTGATAATGGAAATCTGAAAATAAATTATGAATATATGATTACTGATATGACTGGGAGAAAAATATAAAAAATATATATAAAAGGATTTGATGAGGATAGATATATTTCAGGTTTAATCAAATGAACCCATAAAGCTATAAAAATAGATTTGTCAAATTATTTTTACAGGTCACAGTCAGAAATCTACCTTATATATAACATACTGATCTGTAAAACCATTTACCTAACATTGAATATTATTTCTGTTTTTTTATGACATAGAATAATGATATGATTGAATACATATATTACACTGTTTTAAGATATTCAAGATATTAAAAACATGTTGATCAATTTATGAATACTAATGACACAGAATTATGATATAGGACATTCCACTACTTCCAATAAACCCAAGAAATTATTGTATCATTGTTAAAGTTACTTCATCATTGTCATTCATGCAACATACATTGGATTTGTTTGTTTTTCACGAAATAAACAGTGTTTTCAAATGGTTGTTGTTTAATCTGGCCGATGAAAGAATTTAGTTGCATCAATCCAGCAAGATTGAATCCAGAAATTGGACATACACAATCAGGGACCATTAGGGGAACCAAGATTTAAAATTTGAGGACATTTCATCCGGAAATTCTCTGGAAATAGCAATTGTAAACAACTGTCAAAATCCAAAATGGCCACCATGGGAAACCCTAATATGAAATACAGTACAAGAATGATCCATTGAGAACTTTTCAAGACATAGCGAGAAAACGCTTCCACTGTTAAAATAAAAAATGGCTGCCAAGCGGCACGACAAGGGTCCCCGGGTAATCTTCATATGAAATTTAAGACAGATGTATTTGATATTTCTAAAGTATTTTTTAAAGATGGTCGACCGGCGGACATTTTTTTTTCTTCCATCAGTCCCAACACGGACATTTATTCTTGTTCAAATATTGAACATACACTACTAGGGACAAATGGTAAGGGGAAACACACGTGGGGTATTTAGAAGTGACCCACATTAGAGTTCATAAGAAATAGCAGCAACAAAACTTCATCTGGAAAAATCCTCTTCTTGTTTTCGTATCTGTCCCAAAACCCATTATGTTCTTCATCCATTCGAGGCATCCTTAATCACTACACAGGCTTAACTTCCCTCCGTGCAATCATTGGTGTTTTTATGGCGAATGATTTATGTTCATTTGGGACGGTTGAATTAGAATATAAATGTTTTAATCATGTTTACACATGACACGTGTAAGAAAGGGTGGGGTTATGAGAGTTTGACTAGCGTCATGTCCAAACGCCCCTCCTCCACCCTTTCAGGCAGTGGGACTTCAAGAAGGGATGTCCTTGTGTGATCGACTTGAACTTTCAAAATTTAAGTTGGCTGCCTATAATGTACCGATGACAATCGTCAATGCTCAAAATCCATAATCTGCCTTGCGGTTCATTTTATTTCACTAATTAGTCCATAAATTGATGCATCTAGTCAAAAGTTGTTGACCATCATATAACAAATTCTAGAGAAGGCATATTATCGCCATTGAGAGTGGAGAGAGTGCTATCACATATCTGATATTGCTACTTAAAGTGAATACAGTTTATCCGTGACTCCTTAACAGCTGGATGGACACACGTCTAACACATTAATAATTGTCTAATTTGTGATACGGCGTAGAACATTTATCAAAAAATATGATAATAAAAACACCATCATTGCTCCTTCTATCCAACTACCGATACTCTCGGATTCTTCAATTGCATGTCGCCTTCCATTCTCCGTCGTTCGTCTGTTCATCTCCGTCGTTGGTCTCCACATCTCCGTCGTTTGTCTCCTCATCTCCGTCGTTGGTCTCCGCATCTCCGTCGTTTGTGTGCTCATCGCCGTCGTTTGTCTCCGCATCTCCGTCGTTTCTATGCTCATCACCGTTGTTGGTCTCCTCATCTCCGTCGTTTGTATGCTCGTCGCCATCGTTGGTCTGTTCATCTCCGTCGTTGGTCTGCTCGTCGCCGTCGTTGGTCTCCACATCTCCGTCGTTTGTATGCTCGTCACCATCGTTGGTCTGTTCATCTCCGTCGTTGGTCTCACATCTCCGTCGTTTGTCTCCTCATTTCCGTCGTTGGTCTCCGCATCTCCGTCGTTTGTGTGCTCATCGCCGTCGTTGGTCTCCTCATCTCCGTCGTTTGTATGCTCGTCGCCGCCGTTGGTCTCCACATCTCCGTCATTAGTCTCCTCATCTCCGTCGTTGGTCTCCGCATCTCCGTCGTTGGTCTCCGCATCTCCGTCGTTTGTGTGCTCGTCGCCGTCGTTGGTCTCCACATCTCCGTTATTGGTCTCCACATCTCCGTCGTTGGTCTCCACATCTCCGTCGTTTGTGTGCTCATCGCCGTCGTTGGTCTCCGCATCTCCGTCGTTTCTATGCTCATCACCGTCGTTGGTCTCCTCATCTCCGTCGTTTGTATGCTCGTCGCCATCGTTTGTCTGTTCATCTCCGTCATTGGTCTGTTTATCGCCGTCGTTGGTCTGCTCGTCGCCGTCGTTGGTCTCATCATCTCCGTCGTTGTTCTGTTCATCTCCGTCGTTTCTATGCTCATCTCCGACGTTGGTCTCCTCATCTCCGTCGTTGGTCTCCACATCGCCGTCGTTTGTGTTTGCTCCTCCGTCACGTGTCGTCGTAAATCTTACGTGTCAATGTAGCAAGGAATATTTACAAGTAAATACGATATTAGTAAATAATTAGTATCCTGTTTGGCTCATTCGTAAGACATCATTTTAATTTCAGACTAAAAGAGACATTTTCAGGTACTTTTTTGTTCACAGTAGGTAATTATGTCAAATATATCTTTATATGATATCACGGTTTTATTACATTTTGTTTCCTAATCAAGGATTATATGTTAAATCAATGTTTTGATATCAACATTATCAATTAACAGTTTTGCAGTAGCTAAATACGATTTGTTTGAACGCGAGATAAGAAAATATCTGTTCTTTTTGACTTTGTGTACTAACCAACCAACTACTTATCGAATTAGTTTTTTTTACAGAAATACAACAATGCATCGTGTACAGACTTTACATACCTTGGTGTCTCTGTGAAGATTCCTGTCTTCTGTCAGTGATTATCTCACTCCTACAACACATACATATATAATACATTATCGTTAACCACCTGTGTTAGCATTCGGTGAATGTTAAAGGAAGTTTAGTTAAATTAAGTGTTAGAGGGCGAATGCTGGTTTTTTTTTATTTTGGAAGGTGATAATTTTTTTCTATTTTGTCCTTATCAATCAATTAATGACAGATCTTTATATATATATATATAAGATGATAATTTTTTTATATATAATCAATTAATGACATATCTTTATATATATATATATATAATATGTCTTTATATATACTTGTTTAATTGTATTTATCTTTATTAATTTGAGAACATATACAACATTGTATCCATTATCAGTGAGTGTTAAAACATACATGCACTTACCCGACTGGAATCTCTGTGTAAGGAGCCTTATTAACCGCTTCACCGGTTCTTTGTCTCTGCTGAATGCAAAACAAATAAAAATACCACTCTTATTTTTTAATTAATTCGAATCGTGGCACAGTTCAGAATATACACATGTACTTTATGCTGTTCTTAAACTATCTTGTATCTGAAAATTGTGAAATTTGTTCAATTATGTGGCTAATGAACCCTCCCATCTAGATTTCTTTTGACCACTTTGTATTTTCCTCAGTCGCCTCTTAGGTGATCGTAGGATCACTGAAGAGTCCTAGAAGGAGGAAACAACTGTATGATACAGCTGAATTCATTGTTTCGCTCCTAACTCTAACTCAATTATGATGTCTGCCTTTTGTACAATCTTTAACATATCAGACGTTTTGTCATCTAGGTAAGAAATTAATTGATACTTTTTACAAGGTGATTTCCGTTGTAACTGGTACTAGTGTATTGAATTAAAATAGGAATGATCAACATTGTACATTTCCTTAAAACCAATATATTATTTATAAGTTTTGTTCCGCACTTTAATAGAAGTTTTAACTGTTAACACATAGTCTATGAAACGCCAATGATGTGTAGATTTTAACAATAAAAGTACTTCCAGTATTACAGAAGTGTCTCTTACATTGTTTATTGCTAAACCCAGAACAAGCATTAAGGGGTTATTTCATCTATCGAAATCTATATCCCAAACATCTGATATCTGAACAAGGAACACTGTAAATTTTATGTTGATGTTGTAATGTTTGTATTTACTTGTAGTCGTTAGATAACGGTATTTAGTAAGACGTGATTCCTGCCTGTCCATTGCAGTATTTAGTAGTACTAATGCGCATGATTGTTTACCATGTAATATGTACCGACATGACGTAAATAAAGGGTTCTGGCTGAAAACCGATTCATGATGTATGAAGTTATTTGTTCCAGAAATACAAACTGACACTTGTACGGAAATTGGTCGCAGTAACAGATCAGCCCCTCTGTACAAATAAAATGGGAACGCAAAACCCTAAGATTTCACTTTGTTACAAAAAGTTGAAAATTATTTAATAATAAGGTTTCGTGTCCAATTACCCACTAATGCTGCTCAAAAATAATGCTAAGCCCTACCTTAGACAACAATATCAAGTAGTGTTGTCATATCGCAATTAAAAGACATGTATGTATATTGATGCTTATCAACTCCAAAATCATTTCATTACAGTTTTGTCAGTGAAATATAAACATAGATAACAGTGTTATTTTTCACTAGTGTGACGGGCGAGTTACAGAAGGATATATAGCACAGTAGTACAGTAAGGGTTTCACAGGAAAACCTACATCCCATTCTAACGGAAGATATTGCAAAGAGGAAGCTTTCAGCCCGTTGGGTACCAAGACTTCTGACAGCTGATGAGAAACACACCAGGCTGAACCTATTACAGGAAGAGGTTTGTGACTATGGATGAAATGTGGGTCTATCACCAAACTGTCTTAATAATGCATAACCCTAGTTCTATCCCGCTAAAGAAGGCAAAGACTGTTCCATCAGCTGAAAAGGTTATGGCTTCAATTTTCTGGGATGCTGATGGTGTTCTTAGGCAGTTAAGAGAAGTTATTATGTCTTTACTACATATATTCTCTATACTTTGTATATAGAATGAAATTCCAGTTGTTTGCCTCAGAACAAAGGTTACCAGTTAACATCTCGATGTTGACTGCTTACGTAACATTACTGACGTCAGCTTCCTTGTTTACATGCGGTCTGCCTCCATAACAGATTAGCTGAATATACCGCTGAATACATTAATGACATTCTCAATAATAATTCGTTTTTTTAGATATAGAAGGTATAACAAAATATTAGAAGGCTGGATTTTCATCACATGCCTGAGGCCGAATTTGTAAAACATGTTGACCTCAAACCCAGTGAACAAAGAGCCTATCAAAACAGCTCACAAAGGCCGACTTTGCAAAGTCGTTTAATTCTATTTTCAGATATATTGATGACGTCTTGCCTTTCAATAACAAGAAATTTATCGACCACTTTTAGCGTATATATACCCACCAGAATTGGAAAGTCACCACAGATTCTTCTGCATCAGAAGCTTAACTCGTTCTTTTCATACATAAAAACCAACACGGACAGTTTTCCACCAAGCTGTACGAAAAAAATGATGATTGAAATTTCTTTGAAACATGTCTGTCATTCTTTCATAGCAAAGTGTAGAGCTGTAAATAACGTCATGTAAAAGTAAGATTTAAGATAAATTATAGAGTATCCAAACCACTACAAACAATAACAGCATCATTACGATTGGTGTCAGTAGTAAACCTTGTTACGTAAACCATACAGGAATTAATAAAGATCACATTATTTGATGTTCCCGGAAGAAGATTGATAATCTATACAAATTTATAGGAAGTATTGTGAAAACACCTGCAATATTTTACATCAGATGTGGCTCGGTGCCTCGACTGAAATCACTTTCTTGATTTATTTACAATATCCAATATCATATACAAACTGCACGCCCTAGTACTCAGAATTAGAAATATCACTCCGCGATGAATTTTTCTTTTAATGAGCATTTACATTTCCATTAACAAAGCAATATAAGATACATACAGCATTGGTCTGAGAATTGAGAATATTCTTTTCTTACTTGACGGATATCTGTTGTTGTCTCTTTCTCTTTGGACGAACTACTTTTTAGAACTCTTTTTTCAATTCGTTTCTGCGCTGTATTGAAATTATTAATAACGTTGATGTATTTATGCATTCTAAACATTACGATAACAAATCAGAGTACTTATTTAGAGGTATCAAAATAGAAATAAAAATCTGATTATATACCTATCAGTAATGCTTAGGATGAATGATGTTTATCATTACGAACCCAATAGTTTGCACAGTATATTTACATATATTGTTTATCATATAATGATAACTTTGTCGGTAATCTCCACATTGAAAACATTGTTATTTAGCATATTTAAACCTCCGCCCCGGAAAGTTCGTTCCCTCCTCTCTCGCTCACACACACACACACACACACACACACACACACACACACACACACAGAGAGAGAGAGAGAGAGAGAGAGAGAGAGAGAGAGAGAGAGAGAGAGAGAGAGAGAGAGAGAGAGATATAAGGAATCTGATCTCATAATTACCACAAAACCTGTCTATATAGGGCATTCAAGGAAGCAGAGAAAAATGGCCTTTATATACAGGTGACTTTTGTATAAAAGTGGCCTGTATACTTCGGCCAACCAATGTCATATTTTAGTCATGTCATTATTTTTCGTCATTTAAGAGTTGATCCTAAAAATTCATAATACTTTCATAATTGAGATTTGCTATGCAGTTTTATGATTAGAATTAGACACAAGTTTAGAAACCGGTTCTAACTGTAGGTGATCATGCATGTAACAAAACACACTAATGTTAATTGTGTCAGAATCAATAGTTATTGTACTAAGAATAATTCTAAAATACTGTTATGAAGGCAAATGAAGATTTATGCGTTTTGTAGTTTAGATTTCAATTTAAAATTGTTATAAAATATTTGATCTGTGATACGTTAGAACCTTATAAATCAGATGAGGAAATATTTTGATTACCTGGTAATGATAACCAAATATATGTAAACAATTAATGTCAGCATATCAGTGGTTGTTGTTTAAATAAGAAATATATGACTGATTTACTACGAAGGAAGTTGCCAAAGGAACTATGACAGAATTGAGTGGTTTGCATCAACAAGTGTCTGGTTATAATTAGTATCTGGGGTAGTTTTGATATTTTATTTTCTTATAAATGTTAACTTGCAGGTCTTTAAAGCTGTAGATATTTGATGTTGAAAGCATGGCCTGTTTTATTCTGTTTTTTGTTTCTGACCAGAAATATGGATTCAAGAATATTGACATCTTAAGAAAAAAATGCATCAAATCATAGACAATTCATTTTATAGAAAACACAGAACAAAGCGTTTGATAGATGAAGGAAGTTTATTTGAGTTCATTTTCAAGTCGTAACTGACAAATTACCAATACAGTGTACTGAGTAACAATAATGAGATATCAAAATGTTGCAGGACAATATATACATGGGTTAACAGAATAAACACTGTACACGTGAAAACATTTGCCAAGAGTTATTTTCTCTTGAAACTTTTTATATTTGTTAAATGTTAAATTCATCCTAAAAATGTAAAAACATCAATCATTTTTACTCGAAATTGTAGCTGCTTTTTTTTGTTTTTTGTTTGTTTATTTTTGTTCTTGTTGTTTTTTTTTTTTTTTTTTTTTTTTCATTTTTCGCCTTTATTGATAAATGGATGAAAACGAAACTTCCATGAAAATTTCCCCACATACCTTGTAACAGTAATGGATAAACACAAATATATATTATAAACATCTGAACATAATATCCTCAAAAGTCCTTTCAAACTGAATTACCTATATCAGAGGTTACTTAGATCAAACACATGAAGAACTATTTTCTGTTGTGTCATAAGTCTGATGTTGTTGAACTTTTATTGAAAACAATGTGTGTATATTATATGAATATCTTATCTCCAACTCATTTGTAGTGATTTATTGGTAGGAGTATTTTGTTTTCATTTATTTTGATGATGTGTATAAAAAAATCAAAATTTTCCTTTACAAAATGGGCAACAGTTTAGAAAATTATGGCTTTAAGCTGTCACCTCCAACTGTAATGAAAAAATAATTCGAACCATTCTTCAACAAAAATGAAATTATATTGATTTAAACACCAATAATGAAATCTGAAAAAAACCTCAAGTATGAAGATATGATTTTTGATATGATTGGAAGAAAAGTATAAAAAAAAAATATATATCTAAAAGGATTTGTTCACGATAGATGTATTTCAGGTTTACTCAAATTAACCCATAAAACTAGCAGCTTAACACTACTTAATGGAATCAACCTTGCTGTTAAATAGATTTGTCACATTGTTTTTAGAGGTCACAGAAATCTACCTTATATATAACATACTGATTTGTTAAACCATTTACCAAACATTGAATATTATTTCTGTTATTTATGACATAATCTAATGATATGATCGAATACAAATATAACATTGTTTTAAGATATTCAAGATATTAAAAAAATGTTTATCAATTTATGAATACTAATGACACAGGATTATGATATAGGACATTCCACTACTGCCAATAAACCCAAGAAATTATTGTATCATTGTTAAAGTTACTTTATCATTGTCATTCATACAACATACATTTGAATTTTTTGTTTTTCCAGATTGAATCCAGAAATTGGATATACACAATCAGGGACCATTAGGGGAACCAAGATTTAATATTTGAGGACATTTCATCCGGAAATGCTCTGGAAATAGCAAAATTAAACAACTGTCAAAATCCAAAATGGCCACCATGGGAAAGCCTAATATGACAAACAGTTTAAGAATGATCCATTGAGAAGTTTTCAAGACAAAAAAACTTTCACTGTCAAAAATACTGGATGCCAAGCGGCCATTTTATCTCTCGCATCAGTCCCAAAATCGATCATGCACAATTAGGGTCCCAGGGTAATCTTCATATGAAATTGAAGACAGATGTATTTGATATTTCTAAAGAATTTTGGTAAATATGGTCGACCGTCCCATCAGTCCCAACACGGGCTTTTATTCATTATTCTTCGAATCATCAAAGAGATATGAAAAAATTATCGGTGACAATCTTCAATGCTCAAAATCCATAATCTGCCTTGCGGTTCATTTTATTTCCCTAATTAGCCTGTAAATTGATGCATCTAGTCAAAAGTTGTTGACCATCATATAACAAATTCTAGAGAAGGCATATTATCGCCGTTGAGAGTGGAGAGAGTGCTATCACATAACGTATGTTACTACATATAGTAAATAAAAGTTATGAGAGACTCCTGATCTCCACAGCAGGATGGACACACGTCTAACACATTTATAATTGTCTAATTTGTGATACGGCGTAGAAAAACTATAAAAAAAATATGACCAAAAAAACATCGTCATTGCTCCTTCAACCCAACTATCGATACTCTGTGGTTCTTCAGTTGCATGCTGCTTTCCATTCTCCGTCGTTAGTCTGTTCATCGCCGTCGTTTGTATGCTCATCGCCGTCGTTAGTCTGCTCATCGCCGTCGTTTGTCTCCTCATCTCAGTCGTTAGTCTGCTCATCGCCATCGTTGGTCTCCTCATCGCCGTCGTTGGTCTGTTCATCGCCATCGTTAGTCTATTCATCGCCGTCGTTAGTCTGCTCATCGCCGTCGTTTGTTTCCTCATCGCCGTCGTTGGTCTGTTCATCGCCGTCGTTTGTATGCTCATCGCCGTCGTTTGTGTTTGCTCCTCCGTCACGTGTCTTCGTAAATCTTACGTGTCAATGTAACAAGGAATATTTACTCGTAAATACGATATTAGTAAATAATAAGTAGCCTGTTTGGCTCATTCGTTAGACATCATTTTAATTCCAGACAACAAGAGACATTTTCATGTACTTTTTTGTTCGCAGTAGGTAATTATGTCAAATATATCTTTATATGATATCACGGTTTTATTACATTTTGTTTCCTAATCAAGGATTAGATGTTGAATCAATGTTTTGATATCAACATTATCAATTAACAGTTTTGCAGGAGCTAAAAACGGATTGTTTGAATGCGAGATAAGAAAATATCTGTTCTTAGAATTGGAATAAGAGACAGCCATATTTTTATTACGTTATGTACTAACCAACCCACTACTTATTGAATTAGTTTTTTGTTACTAGTAAATACAGCAATGCATCGTGTACCTACTTAACATACCTTGTTGTCTCTCTGAAGATTCCTGTCTTCTGTCAGTGATTATATCACTCCTACAATACATACATATGTAATACAATATCGTTAACCACCTGTGATAGCATTCGGTGAATGTTAAAGGAAGTTTAGTTAAATTAAGTGTTAGAGGGCGAATGCTGGGGTTTTTATTTTGGAAGGTTATATCTTTTTTATTATGGCCTTATCAATCAATTTATGACAGATCTTTTTATATATATATATATAATATGTCTTTATATATACTTGTCTAATTGTATCTTTATTAATCTGAGACCTCCTGAAGAGAACAGATACAACATCTTATCCATTATCAGTGAAGTAGAATGAGTTTGAAAAAAAAAAAAAAACAAAAACAACATACAACTGGTTCTTTGTCTCTGCTAAATGCGAAACGAACAAAAATACCACTATCACTTTTTAATTAATTCGAATCGTGGCACAGTTCAGAATATACACATGTACTTTATGCTGTTCTAAAACTGTCTTGTATCTGAAATTTGTTCAATATTGTGGCTAATGAACCTCCCCATCTAAATTTCTTTGCACCACTTTGGATTTTCCTCGGTCGCCTCCTAGGCTTAAAAATCGGGATCGTAGGATCACTGAAGAGTCCTAGAAGGACGAAACAACTGTATGATACAGCTGAATTCATTGTTTCGCTCCTAACTCTAACTTTGTATTTAAAGGTGCAATTATGATGTCTGCCTTTTGTGGAATCTTTAACATATCAGACGTTTTGTCATCTAGGTAAGAAATTAATTGATACCTTTTACAAGGTGATTTCCGTTGTAACTGGTACTAGTGTATTGAATTAAAACAGGAATGATCAACATTGTACATTTCCTTAAAACCAATATATTATTTATAAGTTTTGTTCCGCACTTTAATAGAAGTTTTAACTGTTAACACATAGTCTATGAAACGCCAATGATGTGTAGATTTTAACAATAAAAGTACTTCCAGTATTACAGAAGTGTCCCTTACATTGTTTATTGCTAAACCCAAAACAAGCATTAAGGGGTTATTTCATCTATCGAAATCTATATCCCAAACATCTGATATCTGAACAAGGAACACTGTAAATTTTATGTTGTAATGTTTGTAGTTACTTGTAGTCGTTAGATAACGGTATTTAGTAAGACGTGATCGCTGCCTGTCCATTGCAGTATTTAGTAGTACTAATGCGCATGATTGTTTACCATGTAATATGTACCGACATGATGTAAATAAAGGGTTCTGGCTGAAAACCGATTCATGATGTATGAAGTTATTTGTTCCAGAAATACAAACTGACACTTGTACGGAAATTGGTCGCAGTAACAGATCAGTCCCTCTGTACAAATAAAATGGGAACACAAAACCCTAAAATTTCACTTTGTTACAAAAGTTGAAAATGATTTGATAATAAGTTTTCGTGTCCAATTACCCACTAATGCTGCTCAAAAAATAATGCTAAGCCCTACCTTAGACAGCTATATCAAGTAGTGTTGTCATATCGCAATTAAAAGGCAGGTATGTATATTGATGCTTATCAACACCAAAATCATTTCATTACAGTTTTGTCAGTGAAATATAAACATAGATAAAAGTGTTATTTTTCACTATTGTGACGGGCGAGTTACAGAAGGATATATAGCACAGTAGTACAGTAAGGGTTTCACAGGAAAACGTACATCCCATTCTAACGGAAGCTATTGCAATGAGGAAGCTGTCAGCCCGTTGGGTACCAAGACTTCTGACAGCTGATGGAAAAAACACAACAGGCTGAACCTATTACAGGAAGAGGTTTGTGACTATGGATGAAATGTGGGTCTATCACCAAACTGTCTGAATAATGAAAAACCCTAGTTCTATTCCGCCAAAGAAGGCAAAAACTTTTCCACTAGAGTCAGCTGGAAAGGTTATGGCTCCGATTTGTTGGGATGCTGATGGTATTCTGTAAAGGGACATTCGATGACACAATTCTCAGGCAGTTAAGAGAAGTTATAATTTCTTTACTACCTACATTCTCTATACTTTGTATATAGAATGAAATTCCAGTTGTTTGCCTCAGAATAAAGGTTACCAGTTAACATCTCGATGTTGACTACTTACGTAACAGCTCATTACTGACGTCAGCTTCCTTGTATACATGCGGTCTGCCACCATAACAGATTAGCTGAATATACAGCTAAAGACATTAATGACATTCTCAATGATTATTCGTTTTCTTAAATATAGAAGGTATAATAAAATATAAGAAGGATGGATTTTCATCTCGTGTCTGAGGCCGAATTTGTAACACATGTTGACCTCAATCCCAGTCAACATGTAAAATATTAAACTCAAGCGCCTTATATGACAACATTCGATTTGTCCATCCTGTGCACCACCATACCCTATTTTAAACTGAAAGAACGCTTTCGTTCTCTTGTTATGAGATATTTCTTCTCCAAGAAATCCAAACAGCGGTATAAATGTGTGGTTGTGAAGTACGCTGAAACATATTTCATAAAACAATAAAAACAAGGAGAAAATATACGGAGGACGAAATCCTGAAAAGGAGTTTCCAGTGGACATCATCTTCGTCGAGTTTGGTGATAAGATCTTCCAATAGACTATTGGCATAACTGTCGGAAATACCTATGCCCCTCTGTTGGCTGACTTGTTTTTATTTTCATAGGCTTGATTTATTAAAGAGCTTATCAAAACAGCTCACAAAGGCCGACTTTGCAAAGTCGTTTAATTTTATTTTTAGATATATTGATGACGTCTTGCCTTTCAATAACAAGAAATGTATCGACCACTTTTAGCGTATATATACCCACCAGAATTGGAAAGTCACCACAGATTCTTCTGCATCAGAAGCTTAACTCGTTCTTTTCATACATAAAAACCAACACGGACAGTTTTCAACCAAGCTGTACGAAAAAAAATGATGATTGAAATTTCTTTGAAACATGTCTGTCATTCTTTCATAGCAAAGTGTAGAGCTGTAAATAACGTCATGTAAAAGTAAGATTTAAGATAAATTATAGAGTATCCAAACCACTACAAACAATAACAGCATCATCACGATAGGTGTCAGTAGTAAACCTTGTTACGTAAACCATACAGGAATTAATAAAGATCACATTATTTGATGTTCCCGGAAGAAGATTGATAATCTATACAAATTTATAGTAAGTATTGTGAAAACACCTGCAATATTTTACCTCAGATGTGGCTCGGTGCCTCGACTGAAATCACTTTCTTGATTTATTTACAATATCCAATATCATATACAAACTGCACGCCCTAGTACTCAGAATTAGAAATATCACTCCGCGATGAATTTTTCTTTTAATGAGCATTTACATTTCCATTAACAAAGCAATATAAGATACATACAGCATTGGTCTGAGAATTGAGAATATTCTTTTCTTACTTGACGGATATCTGTTGTTGTCTCTTTCTCTTTGGACGAACTACTTTTTAGAACTCTTTTTTCAATTCGTTTCTGCGCTGTATTGAAATTATTAATAACGCTGACGTATTTATGCATTCTAAACATTATGATAACAAATCAGCGTACTTATTTATAGGTATCAAAATAGAAATAACTAAATCTGATTATATACCTATCAGTAATGCTTAGGATAAATGATGTTTATCATTACGAACCCAATAATATGTGACAATAGTTTGCACACACACACACACACACACACACACACACACACACACACACTCTCTCTCTCTCTCTCTCTCTCTCTCTCATACACACAAACCTTCCGTGTCTATTTGATACATACTTTTATGTTGAATTAATAAGAACATATATAAAAACTACAACAAACTCCTTAAAATATCCAATATAGAGGATTTTAATCTGAGAGAACAATAAGTTCTTCGCGCTAATATAATACAAGAGTCCTTTCCTCATCATCATCATCAGCAATCCTTATCATCGTCGTCGGTGGCGGTGTCATCATCACCACCACCATCATTATCAAATGTCAGTTTAATTGCCATTTACCAGTACAAGTCTGGCAAGATTCCCGCCAAAAGTACCTCCCCCAAACCATTTAACTTCCGCTAAAGCGGTCCCATTCTTCCATGCTGCATTTCGCTCCCTCGCTCCCCTAGTTGACTCCTCATTCTGCTCCTGACGTCGTCGTGTTCTCGGCAAAGAACATTTTCCATTGTCACAAATTTTCGGTAACAGCAATTATTATGATGTGACGTTGCAACTATGTAGTAGGGACGCCGCGCTTTCAATGGGTAGGTTTTTAATCTGATGTGGATTTTATAAAACGACAAATGACACCCGAACAATGCAGTTTACGTCCCTGCTGTGATTACCAATTGATTGCACACTAGTAAGTCTTGAAGATCTTCCTCACATTCAGAAAATAAAACAAGGTCATCGGCATACAAGCGTAGATA